CTCTCTCTCTCCGACTGTCCCCTTCCATTTTGCATCTCCTGATTCGAAACGTCTACAAAAAGAACCTTCCGTTCCACCGTTTGGTCATTGCCCAGCATCCTCCCTTCCATGTCGAAATGTAGCCAAACTGTCCCTAAATTTTCAGGGTGCGGCGCACAGACTGTCGGTGCGCGCCCCCCCGCCGCCGGCTGGTGTACTCTGAGGGAGAATGTATTCGACGTCGTAATCGTCATCCGTTATTGTGGTGCTTGGGAGGTCAGGCCTGTCAACAGACGGCGTGCCACAGCGAAAGAGGGTTGCTGCCTTCTCAGCCACGGATACGGATTTGTCCAGCTTGAAGACGGAAAAACTCATTACCGTGTCGCGCACTAGTAGAGATGAGACGATTGCCTGCTTTATAGATACCAATTTTTCTATCTGCTCCGCAGCTCGTGTCATCTTCGTTGTCTGTTCTATCTCACATTGAATGACCATCTCCGCGAAAGCGAGTTGCTGCAGGGTGACGCCGAGGTTTCGTCCTTCCTTCCTCATCTGGAAAACTTTTAAGAGTGCCGTCTTGAAGGCGGGGGCGCCCCACGGATCGTCGCCGCTCCGTCTCCATGTCTTGTTCTCTTTCATCTCGGCGCGCATCTTGTTGCGAGCGGGGAGGTGGTGGTCCGATTGCTGCAATCCGACCAGCGGAATCCCTTTTTCTGCCCAGAACCAATGCTTCAGCTGGCAGGTATTCTGTTGCATTCCCCTATGACATCTCGAATCCCGCGCTTTGCAATGTGAGACCGCAGCCCTTCCTCTGCTGTCCCCCCTGCCAGTTTGGCCGTCGCTTGCACCTCCGCGAAAAACGTGTCCTCTGTAGGGTACAGAGTTGCGTCGTTCGCCGAAGAGAACGCAAAGGCTTTGGCGACGGAACGCAACAGCTTGCCCTTCATTTTCTTCGCTAATACAGCGCCCTCATCGTTGGGTCCTTGCGCGCGCTTTCGTTCCTGACGTTGCGATGGGCAGGGAAACACAAGACACAATGCACAGGATAGTGTTAGCAACTCAGCGCCTTGTTCTGAATACAGCACTTGGTAATTGGAAGATTCGGCTATCAACAGTGCGTTCACTAAAACCCTTTTCCGTGCGTGAAGGCTTGCGCCCCGTGGGGGCACGGGATTAGCTGCTCGTGAGTGGGAGGGGAGCGAGTGCGATGCGGGTTTTTTACCTTTTCCAGTGACGCTCACGTGCTGCATGATTTGTCTGTCACCGACAGACTCCTCGGTGTCGCTGCCATTGCGTGCCTGCCGTTCTCCTTCGCTGCGCCACGTCCTCGAAGGAGATGGCGAATCATCTCCTTCCGAAGCGGCGCTCCGGTCTTCGCCGGTACTCTGGCTGGCCGATTTGCCGTCGCTGTTGTCGTCCTCGTCGGTGTCTTGTGACTGCCCGCGGGAAGGACCGTTGTCGTCTGCCTCGTTTCCCCCCTCCTCATCCTCCGCACCGTCTGACTTCTCTGGCGTGGAACGGTCGTGTTCCTCCTCTTCTTCCGCTTGGGGTGTGCTGTACCTGTAGTCAGACCCTCCAAGATCGATTGTCTCCACTGGTCTCTCGTCTTTGTAGGATATTCTCTTCTTTGAACTCCGGTGAGTAGTCGCGCTTCTATCATCCCGCGATTTTTTTTCTGGGGCCCTCGACGGACGGTTCTCAGCGCCTCTTCCGCGCTTTCCCCCGACAGGGGTCGAGGGGGGCGACTCGTTACATTCTTTCAGCGTTGAAATGTCCCGCTCACTCGAAGGGACTGTAACTTTCGACCCGGATTTACGCCTGCGCCTGTGCACCGTTTTCGCGGAGTGGTCGGCACTGCTTCTGCGATGCTCTTTCGACTCCCTCTTCTCAGCCCCCGATTTCTTCCGGCACTTGTCCTTCTTTCCCGCGGGTTTCAAAGACCTGCACAGATCCTCGTATTTTCGCCTTGGAGCCATCACCCTTTTTTTCCACATGCATCAAAGTGGAATAAGAACCACAAGTGCGTCAGAAATGTTGTTTGTCACGCAGAGAGAGAGAGAGAGAGAGAGAGAGAGAGAGAGAGAGAGAGAGAGAGAGAGAGAGTTGAAATTGCGAAGTCATGCAAGGGAGCAACCTCTTTGTGCGTCAGAGTGACTGCATTTGTATTGTCAGGTGGCAGGAGATCGCATAATCTGGGAACAAAATTTTTTTCTCAACAGTCACATCCCCGAATAGTTGCCTCATCCATCAGAGCGATAAGGTTGGCTACTGCGAACCAAATATGTTGACACATCCCACATTTCATGTCATTTTGGCCCGCAGTAGTCAACTTTCCTCGCATCGCGTTCGGTGACCTGGAGAACATCTCATTCCTATAAGTGTTGCTCTATCTTCTGTTTATTATGCTTCGCAACGCTTTGGCTACTTGTGAAGCCGCTAAAATACAGTTGCCTTTTGTGACTGCAGCACATGCAGCAAGACGGTCCACCATCGACTCGCGAAATTGTCGAACAGTTCTTTCGTTCACCGTTGTAGTTTTGATAACTTTCAGTACGTCCTTCGCCCTCACATCCTTTGCCGAGGTTCTTCGGAGAAATTGTATTAGGGTGGTAGCGATGGAACACACATAAACACCACAGTCCGTCTGATTGTTCTGTTGCGGGCATTCTGCATGCACAAGTTTACTTCCTGCCAGATCCCTGCATGTCACCCACGAAAAATGAACCTTTTCGGGGGTGAGACACTGCAAATTAGAAGCCTCGTGAAGGTACTCGTGCCACAAAAATTTTCGCAACGCCGTTCATTCTTCTCGCTTTTTTCCTCTCATTGAGTCAACGACGATAGCAATGGGAGGGTCGGATATGCGGCTGTCCGCAGTGACCTCCAAGAAAGACCTCACATTCAGCAACAGAAGAAGARTCCAKTGTTTGTTACGGTTCACTGGTATCACAGWRACYGATGCGCGTCGCAGTTCGTTGCACAGTCGATGCAACTTCTGTGGTCTRATCTTAATTGYGTCCTCCCATCCTTTTTTCCTCAACTGSCCAAAACTTTCATTRGCGACGACCTCGGGATGCCAGAAAGTTGTGCAGACGTGAACARAARACCTGTCCTGGCCCCGCCCAACCTCTTCATACACAGACTGCAAATAAATGTCAATAATATTGTCGTTCAGCCATCCGTCGTTCGACAACCGTTCAATGTCGGATTTTGATGAGGGTATGGCGTGTTGCGCAGATTTCCATGTAAAAGGGAACAATTCGTTCACATCAGTGATGTCCGTCTGCTCATCCCTCGCTGTAGTCATGTCCCCTGCTTTCCGTTTTCCCACACAACAAGAAGACTGTTCCCCGCTAGACTGGGGCCACTCCGCTGCACCCTCAGTCAGTAAATCGTACATTTCCACGCACCAAGGGTCTGATAACATGTCCTGCCAGCTCTGTGCTGACCTCCGGCTGCTCGTTGGCAACAACGGTTTTCTGTACCTGTCATCATTACCCGTTTCGGTGCGTTGGTATGGCCCCTTCGCAGCAACGGAACAATTACTACTGTGCGACTCTGCCATCCTTGATCCCCTTGTCTTACCTGCGCCCTGTTACTCTGTGTTCCGTGTCGCTCCTCCCCCTTSRCCCCTCYCMGSTTTGCGGCRTCGCAACTTTGTGTTCCTGATCACACATGTAGGGAGAGGCAGAAGACACAGAGGATTAGTTGTGTTTTTTAGCAACGGCAAACGGTTTTCGTCGAGATGCTGTAATTGATTTTTTTTTTTTTTTTTTTCTCCCTTTGTACATAGGTGGGGACGAGAGAGTTCGTGAGAGAGAGAGAGAGAGAGAGAGGTTGACTACTACGGGCCAGAACGAGAACAACCAGCAGCGGTGTTCGGTTACATGGCCCGCAGTAGTCAACTCTTGTTTGTCACCTTCGTTTCGCATGAGGTTTTGGTTCTCCTTCGTAGTTATGTCAGCGTTATGCCATCATAGTTGTTTACAGCTACTAAAAAGATTTACTTCGGCCGAGGACAGCATGACCATCTTGTCGACGACAAAAAATAGACAGACTTATTGATTTTGTCGTAATTGAAATGAGTCTCTCTCTCTCTCTCTCTCTCTCTCTCTCTCTCTCTCTCTCTCTCACACACACACACACAAACTTCAAATTTATTCCTTCTACAATATGTAATTGTTTTAAAAAAAAAGTCCTCACGGTGATGCGCATGCATTTTCGATCCCCATTGTGGTTTACAGAAGCGCGGAACAATGTGAACGGTGTCCACGATGGTGTCGGTGGAAACGATGCTGCTTTGCTGATGTCCATTCGCATTCTCCCATTTCAATTCCTTGCAACCTGTTACGTGTTCCCGTTCACTGTCAACCTCTTTGTACCACTGCACAAAAGCGCACTCGTGTTCCACATTGCCGCCGTCTGTGGGTGCATCGACCACGAAAAACATGGCCACTGATGCGAACCATGTACATTCGTTGGCTGCTCTTATTGCGACGTCGCTGTGCACAAGTCTCCCGTGGAACCGCGGTGACGCTCGTGCAGTTTGAACAAGTGTGCCTCTGTTTGTTCCGTCCTGCGTGCAAGCGATGGCGAGATGTGTTCGCGTGTGTATAGCGAGATCATCGGTAGGAGGTTGACAACCATTCTCCGCCATGTACGCCGTAATCGCTGCTCGAAAATTGGTTCTGAAAGGGAGCTCTTCGAGTATCTAACACGCACGACTGTCAACGCCTTCCACCTCGCGTATCTGGTCTTGATCGATGTTGAACCAGCGCAGTTGAAGGATTGACGTGTCGCGTAGTGCCAGGGTGTTCAACCCCGTTGCCATACAGTCCGTCACAGAAGACCTATTCTCAACGACCCTTTTCCTTCTTTTCCTTACAATTCCGGTCTCCTCCTGCAACGCTAGCGACCGGCGCACGTGGTTGACCATCTTCGTTGACGCTTTCCTTTTGTTCGATGACAAGTACGGTTGTTTGCAGAATCTCCTGTGGTGATGCTCCCAAACATCTGCAGCGAATGTGTCGGCCACACCAGATCGCTCGATAATCGCTCTCATGTGCATAAGATCATGCAACTTCGGGAGTTTCCAATTCGATGGTTGGTATCTTCCCAATTTCGCTTTGATGGTCGTTACGAAGTCCGTCATCAACGCGTCGCATTCGTCGAGGGAAGCTTCAGTGTATGCTGTGCGCCGAAACAAACGTACGTACATTTGCATCAACTTGACGAAACAGGCGGTAATGCCCTTGCCTGTCGAGCGCGGGATTATATTAAAAATGAGGAACATGCACACTGTCATCACAGACCGGTTCTGCTTCGTCTCGAAGCGTCCCTCTCTAGAAAAAAAATCGCTGCCTGTGGCCACGGGCAGCACAAGTTGGGGATATGTTCGCGTACATCTCTCACTAACGCATTGCAATCTCGCATCGAGTTCCTTCAGGATCTCAGTTTGCGGTCTGTGCGGCAACTTCTCAAAGGCTGCCTCCCTGAATGCGTCGACCATGTGCAGGAATATGCCATGTTCGATCGTGTGCATACGGTGTGGTTGCAATGCGAGGTGGTAATCTAGCTGAGGATCATCGCCGCTCCGCCCCCTGTAGAACCCCCAAAGGCCGTTCTGTTCAACATGCCTATGCATGTCCAACTCTGTCATTCGCCCTCCCGCTTAGCGGCGCACGTCATCGTCGTCCGCCGTGAACAGGGCTTCTACGAGTTGGGTTTCCAGCGTCTGGGATCTCCTGCAGTCCGTGAAATCGGCCACAACATCGAGGTCCGTTTTCGACACGGTGCATGTGGGGCATACACCAAACTTCACATTCGCCAGCGCACATCGTTCTGGATAGTCCTGTATAGAGTTGAGGAGGAAAGGGTGGACAGTCACGTCCCCAAATCACGTCGATGGTATCGTGATGCCATCGTGCGACGCCTCCTTCGCAGCTTGCAAGACCATCGAAAGGGCCTTGTAGAAGATGACGGCCTTTCGCTTCCTAAATGCGCTGGACTGAAGATCCCATCCTTTGTCACGGGGTCGATGACGAAGCACGGTGTGAGGAAACCCGGGGAAGGGCTACCTACCGTTCGCTGAAGCCATGGGCTACGGCGCCTGTCACTTCGCCGCGCCCGCTCCGAGGTCCTCGGCGACCAGTAGG